TCTTCCATTTGGGATGTGGGAGTGGGAAAGGCTCTCCTAGGGTCCTATAGATCCCAAATCCAAAGTTTGGGAAGAGCTGATGGTGCAGAACCACCTCGGGAATATCCAGGGAGTTATCCCAAAGGAATCAGAYCCAGGAATTCCTGCAGCTGGAACAGAACATTTGGACACAAGAACTTTGCTAGGAAAGGTTTAAAAAAATTGAATGGTTTTCCCTCAGCCAATGGAGAAGGGAAAAAGACCTGGAAAAGAGAYGGGAAAATGAAATGGAGATTTGATTCCTGGGGTTTTGAGAAGGAGAAGGTCTTGGAAATCTTAACAACAAAAACCCAAGGAACTGAGGATTTGGATCAAGGCTTATCCATGTTTAAGGAATATCCACTCCTAGGGAATCTCTCCCTTCCCTTTGATATGCAGAGTGCTCAGGAAAAGGGCCTGGGAAATCTGAGAGCACTGGGAGCAGTCCCAGGCCTTTCTGTGAGCTCTGCCCTCCCCATGCCCTGCAAGGAAGGAGTTCCATGGAGGGAACGGCTCYGGAGGGATTTTATGGAAGTTCCGTGCCTGGAGAAGGATCCAGAGCCCAGGGAATSCTGGGAATCTGCAGAGATTCCCGCAGGGAATGGAGAGCCCGGCCCGACAGCCACTAGAGGGAAGCAGCGGCTCACCGGGAACAGGGACAGAGACTCGGGATGCGGGCTTGGATCCAGGGGCAGGGATTGATGGGATTTGGGGGAGGAACGAGGGCGGGAAGGGCCTGGCACAGGTTTTGCAAGGAGTGACATTCCCTTGAAGTGTCCAAGGCCAGGCCTGGAGMAACCTGGGATAGTGGGAGGTATTCCAAGGGTTTGGAACAGGATGAATCCCATTCCTTGGAGCATCCCAGTTCACCAGGACTTGGGAGGAGGGCCTGAACCCAAGGGTACCTGGGATTTTAGKAAGGGAATGAGGAGGGAAGCCCTGGCATAGGGAAGAGCCCAAGGCCTGGCCGGACAGGCTGGGAGCAGGCTGGGAGCAGCCTGGGTGTTCCAAGGTATTCCCAGGGTTTTGAAGGGGCTGGATCCCGTTCCTGGGGAATTCCCGACTCACCAGAGGTTCTATTGTGCCGAGATCTTTGATTTTGTTGCCGCTCAGGTTGAGGTGCGTGAGGTTCGGGCACTTCTCTGCCAGCACTTCCAGGCCCCCCGAGATTCTGTTATCGCTCAGCTCGAGCTGCAATGGACCCGAAACATCCCATAGTCCCATCGGATCCCATTCTAGCCCCTTCTCCACGTGTGGGAATGGGGAAAGGCCCCAAAACATCCCAAACTCCCATCAGATCCCATTCCGGCTATCTTGCATACATGGGAATGGGGAAAGGCCCCRAAACACACCCAAATCCCAAATGGATCCCATTCCAGTCCCTCTTCCACACGAGGGAATGGGAAAAGGCCCCAAAACACCCCAAAAATCCCATCAGATCCCTTTCCAGTCATTTTATCATATGTGTGAATGGGAAAGGCATGTCAAAACCATCCCCAAAATCCCATGGGATCCYATTCCCACCATTTTCCAAGGGAAAAGGCCAGGATTTACCATCTTGGGCTTGGATAACTTTGGTAAGTTTGCCACTGAGGTTAAGCCAACAAAATTCCTATTTTATCCCATTCCAGCCCCTTTTCCACACATGGAAAAGGGAAAATGCGGGTCAAAACCATCCCCAAAATCCCATGGGATCCYATTCCAGMTSTTTTTCCAGGGAAAAGGCCAGGATTTACCTTCTTGAGCTTGGCTAGCTTTGGTAGGTTGGCCACTGAGGTGAGGCCGACGTTGATTGTGCTGAGGAATTCCAGCTCCTCAAACTCATCTGTGAGCCCCTCGATTTTCCCTTCGTACGACCGGCAGTTATCCAGAACCAGCTCCCGCACCTGGAAAAGAGAGAAAATCCATGGAAAAATGGCCAGAATTCTGAGGAATTGGTGAGAATCCAGAGGCTTGAGGTAGTGGAAGGCAGGAATTTGGGAGAATAAATCCAAGAGCAGCACAGTGATCATGATCCCGCGCACTGGGAGAAAAAAAATTCCCAAAAATGAATTCCCACATAAATTAATTCCTGAAATAAAGTTCCAAACTACTCACTGGGTTGAAAATTAGGCAGGAAAAACAAAAAGAATTTTTTTCTAAAAAAGTGGATTTTTTTTCCCCTCAGCAGTGTTAAATTATCAGGATTTTCCAGAGGAGCTGTTTGGGAATAAACAAAGTTTTTCCCTCATTTTCTCCACACATCCCCAGAATTCCTGCCAAAAAAAGAGGGAAAAGCACGACGGAGCTGAATCCTCCGAATCCGTGTCCTTGCTCCTTGATCCCACCCCAGCACCCCCAGACAGAGCTGGGATCCACATCGGGAAGCGACAAACTTGCAGCACCAGGCAGATTCTACCTCAGGAGAATTCGGGAATTCTGGAATTCTGGATATTTGGGGTTGGAAGGGATCTTAGGGATCATCCCATTCCAATTCCACTGGAATTAAATTTTTCTGGGCAAGGCTGTTCCCTCTCCGCTTTTCAGGAATTCTGCATTCTGTCCTTCCCTGTTCCCAGCACTGAACAAAGGCCCAGCCAGGAATTCCATGGAAAAACCCCTGGAATCCAAGTGGCCACAAATGGAAAGCCATGATGAGCCCCGAAGTCATTCAGGAAGAGCAGAGCACATTCCCAACCCTTCCCAAAAGCAACAGGAAGTTGGTGCTTCTGGTCCCAAATCCTGGGAAAGAGAAGCATTCCAAACAAAATTCCAGGATACCTAAGAATTCCCAAGCAAATCCAGGCATGCCACAGGAGGAAGAATTGGAATTGCAGGATTTTTCCCAACCCCGCTCAAGTCTCAACTTCCAGCCCTGCACATCCCATTCCCACTTTTCCAAGGCCCGTTCCATCTCAGTGAAAACCCAGAATTCCAATGGAAGAGCGGCCACATCCCTCAGTAGAGGCCATCGCTCCCCACAGGATTCCCAAGCTTTTGCTGGGAATTTTTTATTTTTAAAGGGATTTTTTTACAAGGATCTGGCTCTGGCACTGAGATCCCATCTCCATCCTGAGCCCTTCGGAGCAATCCTAGATCTAATCCCAACAAAAGCATGGAGCCGGCCCAGGGAAGCAGGAATGTGACCTCAGGGAAGCCACATTCCAGCCCAACCAGCTCCTGGGAATTCCACAGGACTGGAATCTCCTCCTCATTTGTGTTTCAGGAGCTCATGGAATACTGAGAAAAAAATCTAGCTCCTGAATTGCTCCCAAAGATCCGAACTTCCCTGGAAATGCACCATGAGGGGACAATATGGACACTTCTTTCCTCCAAAATCCGGGATAAACTACTCCTGACACAGGAATCTTGGAGAACACTGGGATGAGGAGAGGGGTGGGAGAATCCCATGAAATTCCTGTGCTGCTCCCGGACTAGGAGGGATGAGCACATCCGGGATTGGAAATCCTCTGGAAAACTGTGTCCAGTGGCAGAGAGACCAGGAATTCCAACTCATGGATCCCTAACTCCATCCCGATACCATGGAACAGAGATAAATCATGGAATGTCAACCATRGGAACTGCATTTATCCCAAAAAACTTCCACACACTGGGAAAGCCGCAGGCACAGGCACAAATTCCATGGAAACATTCCTRAGGAATTTCCTGCCATGGTTGCCTCTGGATTGAACATTCCCAGGAGCTGCTCCATGCCACCTGATTTCATGGAATTCCTCCCAGGGSACACCTGGGACCACCTGCAGTACCCGGAGCCCCTCCAAAGGGAACCTCAGTAACACATCCAAAGACACGGAATTCTGGAGCTCTCTGAGGTCACCAAATCCAAGCCAGGACCGGACCCAGCCCAGAGCTCTGAGTCCAGAAATTCCCTGGACACCTCCAGGGATGGGAATTCCACAAGAGCTGACTGTTCCAATGTTCAACAACTTCTTCCATAAAACAATTCCTGAGGTCCYACCTGAGCCTCCCCTGAGGCCATTCCTGTTCATCCCATCCCTGTTCCCTGGGAAAAGATCCCWATCYCACCTGGCTCCAAGCTCCCATCAGGGAATTGTGCAGAGCCAGAACATTCTCCCTGATCCAACTTTTTTTCCAGGATAAACCAGGAAAAAGCCCGAAGTCCTTTGGAAAATCTCCAATCCATGGGCAAGGAGAGGCAGGAATCTGGGATGAAATTCCCAAATCCCAGTCTGTAACTGAAGGCTGCAAAGGTGACAAAAGGACATGGAGCAGCCACACAGACACTGGGATTTTGGGGAATTTGGGGCTCTCCCAAGCCTATGGAGTTTAGGAAATTTTTTGGCTCTCTCCCCAGTACAGAATGACCTCAGTGGCTCCCGAATCCTCACTGCCAAGAGCTGGATCCTGCCGAGCATTCCTGATCTGGCCTCACACGGATATGGGAATCTCAGGCGGAAATGGATCTCCCCAGGTTCCCARTTCCATGGGATTTGTGCTCCAATGTTTGAGGGAAGACAGCCCTTCACAGGCACAGCATTCCTGATTTTTGGAGAAGGTATGRGCTTGGCAAGGCTCAAAATTTGGGAAGAATTCCTCCCTTGGAGGCTGAGATGGAATTCCCAGAGAAGCYGTGGCTGCCCCTGGATCCYTGGAATGTCCAARGCCAGGRTGGAGCAGCCTGGGATAGCAGGAGTTATCCCTGCCCTYGGAATGGGATGGGATTTAAGGACCCTTCCCACCCAAACCATTCTGTAATTCCAYGATCCCAACTCCTGCAGGAGCCCCTGTCCATGCTCAGCATCAGAACATTCCCAAAATTGACATTGGAGGCTTCCCCCAAAATTCCCACTGGAGTCGAGAARCCACCTGAATTTCCCATTCAGATCCTGCCTGGAATGTGACCAAGCCAACCAAAACCTGGATGAGCATCCCACTGAATCCCATCCTACTGAATCCCAGGAATACAGAGCTGCTCCGAAGGCTCAGATGCGTCAACCCCTGCTCCAAGATCATCCCATGACWCCCCATTGGGAAGAACCCAATTAAAACCATTAATTACTAATTAATTCATTAATTAAGAATGGTGCAATTTTCCAGCTGCAATTCCAAACCTTCCGGATACAACCCCCTGGCAGCCTCTGAGCGATCCCACCCTGTTCCCACTGGAACACAGGAAAGGAGAACATGGAACATCTCCCGCCCAGATCAGCACAGCTGTGGGGCTGCTCCGTGCCTGCCTGGCCTCGGAGCTTTTCCAGGTTTTCCAGAGCCCTGGAATGCTGCCCACAGTGGGGAGAGCAGCAGGTGCCATGGCCCAGGGCCACGGGGGATTCCCATTCCATGGGATCCCATTCCAAGGAGGATCCTCAACTGCTCCCGCTGCTGGACGTGCTCTGGAATGGGGAGCTGACCTCCAGCTGGATTAGATTCCCACAGGAAGGGGAAATTCCCAAGGTTTTGCCTTTTCCTGTCCCGCAGGTGCTGGAAGATGGGTTTTCCATGCCCAAAGCCCATGGGATTTGGGATTTGGATACATCCCTCCAAGACATTTTTAGGAATACCTAAGATGGGATAAATGGATTTCCAACCAGTTATCCATGACTATCTCCTGGCCAGGAATGCACTGGGAAGAGAATCCACAAATCCCAGGGTAGGGAGAAACGCTGCTGGAAAAGGTCCCGGATCATGACCCAATTCCTGGGAAATCTGGCAGCCAGAGGATTGGAGAATCCCATGGCAGAGGCAGGGAAGGGACTGGATGGGATGAACACGGATCCCTGGAATTGGGAGCAGAATTCCATCTGCACTATTATGGACAGAAGTGGCACTGCGACCCAATGGCACCTGCCAGAGCTTCCCAGGAATTTTATAGGGATTCTCCAAGCTCCAGTTTATGKGAATTCACCAGGGACGCCATCTCCATCCCAAAAAACCTGTCCCATTCAGCAGCTCTCCATTGGAATGAGTTCCTCGGGAACATTCTCCATTCCAGCTATTCAACCAAGCTGGAATTCCAAACTGGAGTGCCAGAATTGTTGGAAAACACCACTAAGCCATGGAATCTGGCCATCCATCCAACCCCAGGATCAAACCCTGTCCAGGAACACCAAATTCCTGCCCTGGGAAGCTTTAATCAGACCCCAAAATTCAACCCGSGTTTCCCAAATGCTGCCTCAACATCCACATTGAAATTTCTCTGCTGCAACTTCCTTGGAATCTCCCACCACTCCCTTTAAACTTCCAGGATCTCAGGATCATTGAGCTTGGAAAAAACATCCAGGATCGAATCCTGATCCCCACCCCGTGCCAGCCCAGAGCTCCAAGTGCCACATCCAGGAATTCCCTGGRCACYTCCAGGGATGGGAATTCCACAAGGGTTGAGCTGTTCCAATGTTTAACAACCTTCTCCTGATGTCCCACCTGAGCCTCCCCTGAGGCCGTTCCCGCTCATCCYGTTCCTGTTCCATGGGAAAAGATCCCAATCCCACCTGGCTCCAAGCTTCCATCAGGGAATTGTGCAGAGCCAGAAGATTCCCTGGTCCTCCCTTTTTCCAGAATAAATCAGGAAAAAAAGCCAAAGTGTCTCCTTTGGAAAACCTCCAATCAATGGGCAAGGAGAGGCAGGAATTCGGGATGAAATTCCCAAATCCCCAAAGGTGTGTCCCCAAAGGCTTCCCAAGGCGACAGAAAGACACAGCGCAGCCACATGGACACTGGGATTTTGGGGAATGTGGCGTTTCCCAAGCACTGACACATGGATATCCCTGTGGATCCCTATCCCAGGATCCTTAAATCCAGGTTCCAGCCAAAGGAAAGGAGCTGGGAAAGGGACAGGAAACTCCATGAGTTTAGATTATTTGGTGGTCGTTGTGAGAAATTTTTCCTTGATTTTTCTCTCAAAGCTGCTCTGTGTTCGGCGACAGCT